CAACTTGCAGATTGCATACTGACTGCATCGCCCAGTTCACAAATCACAGATGTCACTACTCACCAGTTCAGTCTCACGAGTAGTGACACATTGCAGACAAATGACGCCATCTGTCTCCCGCTCAATCTCTCTCTCTCTCCCTTTCTCTCGCTTTATCCAACTCTATCTGCATCTCTGACTTTTTCAGTTATTGGTGAGAAATGAAGTGGACTCACGTGTCGTGGTTTCTACAGGCGACGCCATCTCCTTCGCCGTGGTAACTGCAGCTTCTGAAGAAGGTGAAAATCACATGCATCCGAATTAGAAATCGACAAATGCATCATTTTATGTAAGGAGGTTGACTTGACCTCGAGGATATCGTCACGTCGCTCTGTGTATACTTGTTCACGTGAGATGTCTGGAGCGTGTTCAGTCTTCCTCTGTGGGTGGGTGGTTGGCTGGGTGTATACAGTGTTACTGTCACTTGTTGAAAATCACATCATTCCCGTGGTTAATGATTTCCACTTCGACTGTGTATTCACGTATATTCGTCTAATGCCTAGTCTCTCTCAGTAAACGCCTCCATTTCTTTCATTCGGCCAACAATCAATCAGTTGACATTTGCTTCATCATCACATCGCGTTACAACTCTACCGAATAGAATAGTGGTATTCTCAAACACCTTGATTCTCTTCCCTCTCATCTGTCATCCTCAAGCCGAAATGATCGCTTCCACCCACATTCAGAATACACCTCTACTCCTTCGTCAAGCCTTGCACACAGATGTACGACGAGAACATGTGTGATGGGACTATCGGAACTGCAATCAACTTGCAGATTGCATACTGACTGCATCGCCCAGTTCACAAATCACAGATGTCACTACTCACCAGTTCAGTCTCACGAGTAGTGACACTTTGCAGACAAATGACGCCATCTGTCTCCCGCTCAATCTCTCTCTCTCTCTCCCTTTCTCTCGCTTTATCCAACTCTATCTGCATCTCTGACTTTTTCAGTTATTGGTGAGAAATGAAGTGGACTCACGTGTCGTGGTTTCTACAGGCGACGCCATCTCCTTCGCCGTGGTAACTGCAGCTTCTGAAGAAGGTGAAAATCACATGCATCCGAATTAGAAATCGACAAATGCATCATTTTATGTAAGGAGGTTGACTTGACCTCGAGGATATCGTCACGTCGCTCTGTGTATACTTGTTCACGTGAGATGTCTGGAGCGTGTTCAGTCTTCCTCTGTGGGTGGGTGGTTGGCTGGGTGTATACAGTGTTACTGTCACTTGTTGAAAATCACATCATTCCCGTGGTTAATGATTTCCACTTCGACTGTGTATTCACGTATATTCGTCTAATGCCTAGTCTCTCTCAGTAAACGCCTCCATTTCTTTCATTCGGCCAACAATCAATCAGTTGACATTTGCTTCATCATCACATCGCGTTACAACTCTACCGAATAGAATAGTGGTATTCTCAAACACCTTGATTCTCTTCCCTCTCATCTGTCATCCTCAAGCCGAAATGATCGCTTCCACCCACATTCAGAATACACCTCTACTCCTTCGTCAAGCCTTGCACACAGATGTACGACGAGAACATGTGTGATGGGACTATCGGAACTGCAATCAACTTGCAGATTGCATACTGACTGCATCGCCCAGTTCACAAATCACAGATGTCACTACTCACCAGTTCAGTCTCACGAGTAGTGACACATTGCAGACAAATGACGCCATCTGTCTCCCGCTCAATCTCTCTCTCTCTCTCCCTTTCTCTCGCTTTATCCAACTCTATCTGCATCTCTGACTTTTTCAGTTATTGGTGAGAAATGAAGTGGACTCACGTGTCGTGGTTTCTACAGGCGACGCCATCTCCTTCGCCGTGGTAACTGCAGCTTCTGAAGAAGGTGAAAATCACATGCATCCGAATTAGAAATCGACAAATGCATCATTTTATGTAAGGAGGTTGACTTGACCTCGAGGATATCGTCACGTCGCTCTGTGTATACTTGTTCACGTGAGATGTCTGGAGCGTGTTCAGTCTTCCTCTGTGGGTGGGTGGTTGGCTGGGTGTATACAGTGTTACTGTCACTTGTTGAAAATCACATCATTCCCGTGGTTAATGATTTCCACTTCGACTGTGTATTCACGTATATTCGTCTAATGCCTAGTCTCTCTCAGTAAACGCCTCCATTTCTTTCATTCGGCCAACAATCAATCAGTTGACATTTGCTTCATCATCACATCGCGTTACAACTCTACCGAATAGAATAGTGGTATTCTCAAACACCTTGATTCTCTTCCCTCTCATCTGTCATCCTCAAGCCGAAATGATCGCTTCCACCCACATTCAGAATACACCTCTACTCCTTCGTCAAGCCTTGCACACAGATGTACGACGAGAACATGTGTGATGGGACTATCGGAACTGCAATCAACTTGCAGATTGCATACTGACTGCATCGCCCAGTTCACAAATCACAGATGTCACTACTCACCAGTTCAGTCTCACGAGTAGTGACACATTGCAGACAAATGACGCCATCTGTCTCCCGCTCACTCTCTCTCTCTCTCTCCCTTTCTCTCGCTTTATCCAACTCTATCTGCATCTCTGACTTTTTCAGTTATTGGTGAGAAATGAAGTGGACTCACGTGTCGTGGTTTCTACAGGCGACGCCATCTCCTTCGCCGTGGTAACTGCAGCTTCTGAAGAAGGTGAAAATCACATGCATCCGAATTAGAAATCGACAAATGCATCATTTTATGTAAGGAGGTTGACTTGACCTCGAGGATATCGTCACGTCGCTCTGTGTATACTTGTTCACGTGAGATGTCTGGAGCGTGTTCAGTCTTCCTCTGTGGGTGGGTGGTTGGCTGGGTGTATACAGTGTTACTGTCACTTGTTGAAAATCACATCATTCCCGTGGTTAATGATTTCCACTTCGACTGTGTATTCACGTATATTCGTCTAATGCCTAGTCTCTCTCAGTAAACGCCTCCATTTCTTTCATTCGGCCAACAATCAATCAGTTGACATTTGCTTCATCATCACATCGCGTTACAACTCTACCGAATAGAATAGTGGTATTCTCAAACACCTTGATTCTCTTCCCTCTCATCTGTCATCCTCAAGCCGAAATGATCGCTTCCACCCACATTCAGAATACACCTCTACTCCTTCGTCAAGCCTTGCACACAGATGTACGACGAGAACATGTGTGATGGGACTATCGGAACTGCAATCAACTTGCAGATTGCATACTGACTGCATCGCCCAGTTCACAAATCACAGATGTCACTACTCACCAGTTCAGTCTCACGAGTAGTGACACATTGCAGACAAATGACGCCATCTGTCTCCCGCTCAATCTCTCTCT